CAAGGAGGCGGCCGCCGGCGGCTCCGCTGCTGCAGCCCGTGCGTCTGAGCCGTGCCGAGCTCTACCGGCCGCCCACGAGCGAGGAGCTGCAGCAGCTCAAGGAGACCGAGGATCTCTTCCACAGCGGTCTGCTCAGCCTGCAGGTCAGCAGACAGATAGGGGCTGTGGGCACAGGGCAGATTAAAGCCCCGTGAGCACAGCGCAGCCTCTTGAACCCGGCTGTTGGGGGAATCCGCACGGTGTTTTTCTGTGGCTGCTGCTCTACCGCTCAAGATCCTTCCTGAGGGCATGTTCTGTGTCAATCCTGCTGGGTTTATCCAAGCTGGGCCTCCGACAGGAGCCAGCAAGGTGGGGGTTGCTCCTCTGGAGGGCAGCTGTGCTGTTGTGCCTCTGCCCGGGGTCAGTGCTGAGCGGAGCTGGTGGAGAAGCTCAGGGCTTGCCTTGCTCACCTGCTCGATTTCCAGCATTGCAGCTGCCTCTCACAGTCTTCCCTGTCCCACTGCAGATTGAAGAGCTTCTGAAGGAGGTGACGTTGAAGGAGACGAAGAAGAAGAGGATCAATGCCTTCCTCCACGAAATTAATACCCTGCTGAGCTCTGTCCCGGAGACCTCAGAAACTGATGTATGTCCCAGAAGGGTACAGGAGGCAGCAGGGCCTCTGTAAGGAGCAGGCTTTGCTGATGACCAGCTGTTTCTGAGCAGACTTAAGTCCCTGTGGAATGTCTCCCTTGAGGGCTGAAGAAATAATAACTTGATTCGAGTTGGTGAGGCAGAGGGGTGCTCCATCTCTAACTGCTGGGTCCAGGCTCCTGCTAGTCAGAAGGAGCTTTACGTAGGAAGAGGGATCTTGGTCTCTGCATGGTTGTTACTGATGTAGCTAAAGGCTTTTCCTGTGTCTTACCTGTTCCCAGCTCACAGACCAGGCCTGGCTCCCCAAGGGGGTGAAGGTTCCCTTCCTGCAGGTGCCGTTCAGCGTGAAGGGGAGGTTTCGGTTCCTGCCCCCAGCTGAGGTGAACGTGGTGGGCAGCTACCTGCTGGGCACCTGCATTAAGCCCGAGATCAACGTGGACGTGGCAGTGACCATGCCGCGGGTGAGTGTGGCCTTGTCTGCCCTCGAGTCACTTGGGACCTGCCCGAACCCTGTCCCCTGCTGTCCTCTGCACCGTCTGTCCTGTTCACTTGGTGCCCGACTGAGGCTGCAGCATCTGGATGTGCAGCCTGGCAGCCCCACTTGCTAGATCAGAGCTTTCTGCTGCTTTGATTTCAGTCCTTGTGAGGGTTTTATTATCTCTGAGCTCAACATTTTCCAGTTGCCAGAGAGGCCAGGTTACCACCTGGCTTCATCCCATTGTATGATCTATCCCTGCTCCCAAGCCTGTGTTGAAGGGTGGGCGATGTTATCCTTGCAGAGCTTTCCTGATGTCCAGACTCGCTCTGGCCCATGGATGGTGGGCTGTGTGATGAGCGAAGCCCTGTTGGGCTGAGCAGCTCTGCTTGCAGGGATGTTAGCACCTGCCAAGCGCTTCAAGCTGCCTTGTCACTCCTTGGGGCTGTCCTGCTGGAAGCAGCTGTGTGTCTGAAACAGCGATGTTTGTGAAGCTGGTGGTGCAGTGTCTCAGGCTGAGCTGGGCTCTGCTGGAGATCCACCTTTCCCTCTTGCCCAGGAAATCTTCCAGGACAAAGACAACCTGAACCAGCGCTACCACCGCAAGAGAGCTCTGTACCTCGCTCACATCGCCCATCACTTCTCCAAGGAGAAGCTCTTTGGCAGCGTAACCTTTGCCTACATGAACAGCAACCATCTCAAGCCCATCCTGCTCTTGCGGCCTCAAGGTAGTACCTGAGCCTTGTTCTGGTAGGGGACTGGGAGCCAGTCATAGATTTTCCTATCTTAGCTGGAGAGTTGAGGGTCTTCGAGTGTCTGGCAGGAGCTTTGGATTTCTCTTTGGAGAGGGAACGGGGTCAGTTTGAAGCTTTTGTTGAAGTTGGTGATAAATTTTGAAGCTTCGATGCTTCAATTTCTCCTGTGCCTCTAATCCTCGTGGTTCTTCTCTTTCCTTTGGTTCCTTATCCCCTTGCTCACTGATCTGGCTTTTGGGTATTTCAGACAGTAAAGTAGATGCTCCAGAAATGCTGCTCTGTCTAGCAACACTCCTCCCTGTTCCCCATGTCCCTGCTGTTCCCTTGCCTTCCTGAGGCAGGGGAGGCCTTCCCAAGGCACAGTTTGTCCCTTCCCTGAAATACCAAGGGGCACGTGAATTGCTGAGTTTCTTCAGACCTGAGGTGATCGCAGGTTTGGATCTGAAATGGTCAGTGGGGTGTTTGAGGTGAGGATGGTTCAGGATGAGGGCGCTGGGGTCAGGAAATGGGCAACCTGGCTGGCGGGTTTGGAAGACTAGGGACAGGAGCAGTGGGAGCTCTGGTTTATTATCAGTTCTGCTCTGGTCACTCTCTGCTTGAGATGATTTCTACCACTGTTGAGAGGAGGTGGGGAGGAGGTTTTTTTTTTTTTTTTTTTTTTTTTCCCTGAGATGGGGATGTTTCCTATCTTCTTCAATAGTCATAGTCTGGGTCTTTGACATCTCTTCCTCCTGTACTTCTGTCCCCCATGCTTAAAGGCAAAGATGAGAAGCTGGTTACCGTTCGACTTCATGCCTGTCCTGCCCCGGGTTTCTTCAAGCCAAGCCGTTTCTATCCCAGCAAGAACAACGTTCGGACTGCCTGGTTCATGGAGCAGGGCACTTCCAAGGAAGGTAGGCCCTGGGGGAGCACAAGGCTGCCTGGCTGTGCTGATGCCTGCAGCAAGTGCAGGGAGCTGGGTTTGCTGTGACTGTTTTTTAGTGAATCAGAGGTTTGTGCTGGGATCCAACACATTGTCATATCCCCTCCCAGGAGCGCCGGAGCCCCCAACCCCTCACTACAACAACTCCATCCTCTGTGACACAGTGCTGCAGTCCCACCTGCATTTCTTGTCCAATGTCGCCACTGACTTCCCGGGCATGAAGGATGGGCTGGCTCTTCTCAAAGTGTGGCTACACCAGCGACAGCTCAGCAAGGTGTGTTATGTGCTGGGGAGTGAGACAGGCTCTGCTCACGTGGCTCCCCTGGCTTTGGGCTCTTCACCTCCCATCACTGAGATGGAAAGGTGACAGTTTGTCTCTTGTGGGTTATGTGGTTGGTTTGGGCTCTCATAGGAGGTCTCAAGGTCTCAAGGAGTTCTGTCTTGCCCTGTGGGCTGCAGTGGGTCAGTGTGAACTGGACATTTGTGCTGCTTTGAGATTTCACCACTGATGCTGTTTTTGGAGGAAGCTCATCTGTTTCCCAAAGGAACATGGGTCCTACTTCTTAGATAAGAACTTGCCTCTGTCTCTTCCTGAGTGGGCTGGGGCTGTGGGACTGCCCTGCTGGTGATGACAGTGGCTGAGAGCAGCTGTGTGGAGTAAGCACTGGCATTTACAGTGCCTTGCTGAGCTCACCCTCACCCAGCTCTCTGCTTTTGCAGGGCTTAGGCTGTTTCAGTGGCTTCTTGGCCTCTATGCTTGTTGCCTATCTGCTGATGAAACGCAAGATCGTTAAGATGATGAGTGGCTACCAGGTGCTGAGGAATGTTCTGCAGTTCCTGGGTGAGTTGCTTCCTTCTGGGTGGTCTTTTGCAACAGATGACAGTGAGTGAAAGCTCTCCCTGGAGTTCTTTTGGTGCCAGAGTCCCTGGTGCCTCGGGCTGCTGGACCACTGTCTTCTTCCCCATCCCTCTGTGTCGGACATGTGGGCTCAGATCCTGGCCAGAATGGGATGGGGGAAAGGGAATCACTGCTTTTGTCTTTCTGGTGGTGACCTGGAGGGATGCTGTGTTTGGGAAGGACAGGAGAAGAAGAGACAGTAGAGAGGGGTGGCTGGAGTGGCTTGGTGATGCCACAGCACAGGTTAGAGGCCAGCATTGTGTTTCACTCTGTTTAGAGTTGTTAGAGCACATGGTACTGGCATGTGGGTGTGCCCCCCTCACCGAGGGGGAGATGTGGATGCCAGTGTGACTTGTTCCTTCCTCTCTGTCTGCAGCCACCACAGACCTGAGTATGACGGGGATCAGCCTAGCAAAGGACACGGACGCCTCCCTTGTAAGCAGCTTTCCAGAGAGTTCGTGCCGTGTTTGGCTGCCAACTGGGCTGCTGGTGCTGTGGGGCTGCCCGGGCAGGGATGTATCCATCGGCATGGATGGTGTTTTAGGGACTCAGGGTGGAGGTGAGGTGGTGGTGTCTTGATGTCTGTCTTGCGCTGTGGCACTACGGATCATGTTTGTTCTTCCAGCCTTCCCTGGATGACTTTCACCAGGCATTCGAAGTGGTTTTTGTGGATCCCTCAGGGCTGGTGAACCTCTGCGCTGATATGACTGCCAGCAAATACCACCAGGTATTGGAAGATTATGAGGGCACCCTAAGATGCTGTTTAGGGATTCAGGGACAATCAGGAGTTAACATGAGGCTCTTCTGCTCACAGACTGATAGTTTCTGTTGAAAAGTTGCTGAGCTATCTGGGACAGCTGTGTGTTCATGGTGTGGAGGATGCAGTCTTGCCTTGTTGGCTGGCTTCTGAAGCTGACTTTGCAGAAGATACACGCTAACCTCTGCCATGGTCACCAGTTCCTGGGACAAAGGAAATGTCCTCATGTATTTTATTTTTATATTTTTATATTTTATTTTTATATTTTATTTTTTATTCAGTTCCTGTGTTTAATAATAGAAAATGTCATGCCTCCTCAGCCATGTGACAGCACCCTGAGGAGACAGCGGGGCTGCAGGAGGGAAGGGAAGGTGATGGGATGAACTGCTGCCTAATTTGGTTCCATCACTCAAGTGAGCTGAGGCAGATGGAGGGTGCTACACATCCTCGAGAAGGATATTGCATGTGGGGAGGTGATTCAGTGCTGCTTTTTAGACTTTAACAAACACTTCCAGCTCTGAAGCTTAGAAGGGAATTTTAAGACTTGAATTTAGTGCCATCTTGCCTTTCCTGCGCAGAAGATGGAAAGAAATTTGTTTTTGTCTGCGTGGGCATTTCTGGGTGAAGCCAGACATCTGTTTAAGAGAAATAACTGTTTTGGAGCAAAAAAAAAAAAAAAGCACATGGATTGCAGGAATGCCAGGAAGGGTTTAGGGGAGCATATAGTTGGCAGCAAGTGCTGTGGGTTACTTGGCTCCATTCATGGCTAAGAATGGACGCTGTCAGGGATTGATGTCTGCTGGTGACCATGGACCTGAGGTGGCCATGGTTGCCTGGGGACTGTTGGTGTCTTCTCCTGGAGAGAGTTGCTCTCCACCTCTTCCATCCCATTCATACCTCTGCTCTTTGTTTTCTCCTTGCTTAGGTCCAATTTGAAGCCAAGTGCTCTATGGAGGTTCTGGATGACAGCACTGTGGATGGCTTCCAGCTGGTGCTCATGACTGCAAAGCCCATGCTTAGAGCCTTTGACCACATCTTCCAGTGAGTGTCTTTGTGCTGGTGGGGAGGTGTCGAGCAAATCTCTTCAGAAAGCAGTGGGCTGTTCCTGGTTTCAGAGCAGGATGGATATTGGACCTTCTCTATGGGAAATGCCCCTGAGAGCTCTGCAACGGACACTGCTGCCTCTTGCCTATAGCACTTCTGTTGCCCAGACGTCCTCCTAGGAGGAGGGGAGCTTTGTCAGTGCTTTCACCTGCGATGAATGGTGACTGTCCCCAGAAAACAGCATTTCCCATAGTATGTCCTGAGAGACCTGGGGATCCTGGCCTCACAGTGATGTAATGCAGTGCTTCTTTCATAGCCCCCATCCTGCGCCAGTGGCCCTCTGTTTCTCCCTATATCCATCCTCCAGCACCTTTCTGAGGAGGAATTTGGTGGAGGAGGCAGATGTGTGACTGGCTGCTCTCCTTCTCTAGCCTGAAACACGTCTCCAAGCTGCAAAGTGCCTGCAAGAAGATGCAGCTGCTGAATGAGCTGATGGATCGAGGTGGGAACTACGTGGCTGCAGCCCTTCCATTTGTTGTGTCCCTGCTGTCACGTGGGCTGGCTGGGCGAGTGCTGCTGGTGGCTCATTCCTTGCCCCAGACCCCTGAGGTAACACGCTGACCAGGGATGCTGCTTGATGTTGTTTGTATCCCTGGTGTGCTTGGGGTTTTGGGTGTTCCTTGCAGCACTGTTGAGTGTGGGAAGGGGATCTTGGATCAGTACGGGATGGAGAGAATCTCTCCCCTCTGTGGGAGGCACCTGCAGGATCTGAGGTTGGGGAACTTTGGCTAGGGTGCTGGGTACAGCCAGGAAGACTTGGTTTTGGCAGAAGTCCATTGCCAGCATTGGGGCAGGGTGAAGACAGCTGGCTTTCTCATCAAGGAGAAATGAGGACTTCCCGGTCTGTGCCCATCTGGGCACCACAGAGTATGTCCTGGGTAGCAGGTGTTTTATCTAGTGATCTGATACTCTGGCAGATGCCACTCCAGCCAAATCACCTCTCCTTGTGCTTCGTATTTCCTGTTTCTGTTTAGTGGCATATTGAAGCCGAGCCCCCAAAACACAAAGACATTGGGCCTCTGACATTCGGACTGCTGTTTGTCCCGGAGTTTGCTGCCAGTGCGTTGGAGAAGGGACCTCAGGCTGATCGTCCTGAGGTAAGGAGAGACTTCTTTATCCAAGAGAGGATGGTTGGGGAAAATTTGTGCTGCTTGGGAATGTCCATCAGCACATCATAGCATGTTCAGCGTTGGGTGCCTGCTGTGGATGAACTGCTCAGGACCAAGGAGCAACAGCAGTGGTGAGCAAGTGGTAGCAAACAGGATGCTGGTGTCCTTGAGACATCTTGGTGGATGAGGAGGGTCTCTAGGAATGGGGTCTGGCTGGGAAGATAGTTGCTCCAGCTGGCATGAGTGGGAGACAATGAGATGGAAACAGTGGGAGACGTCAAGTCCGAGCTCCTCTTTGCTCCACTTGAGGAAATCTTGATGGGATTGAGCCTGCATTCCTCTCCTTTTAACTGAGCCAGGCAGAAACTGGGCTGGGGAGCTGGAGCGAGGCTGGCACTGTGCACCCATTGCAGATGGCTCTAGGGGTGGCCAGCAGTCATAGCAGCGTTTTGGCTGACCCGAGCTGTCACTGGTGGCTCTGGCACCATTGATGTTTCTCTCTGCAGGCCCAGGACTTCCGAGCCTTCTGGGGGGAGAAATCTGAGTTGAGACGGTTCCAGGATGGGACCATCTGCGAGGCCGTGGTGTGGGAGGCAAACACTGTGTGCCAGAAACGCCTCATTCCTGAACAAATCGTCAGGCACCTCCTGTGGCTGTAAGTAGTTCTGAATATGGCCAAATGGTAGCTGTCACTGGGAGACCTGTGGTTCTGTGGGGTCACTGCTGCTCTTCATGTCTTGTGCTGAATCTGTAGTGCCCTTGAAGTAACACTGTTGTCAGATCCAGGTCTTGTGGGACTTTGTGGGTCGTTTCAGCTTTGTGAAGTGAGGAAGTCATTTCAGCTTTGTGGTCTGGATGCTCCTTACTGCTTCCCAAGAGAGTGTAGTGTGGGCAGCCATGTGACATTATGACATTGTGGAACTGCTAAAGGCAAGGAGTGGGAGTGGTTCTGCCTTTGCAAGTGGATGTTGAGACACTCACTGCTGGCAGAGTTGAGAAGAGAAGCCATTCGGACCATGGGGTTTGTTGTATGAAATCCTATGAGACCCTATAGTGGCCCACAAGGTTGGGTCTACCTACCTAGAACACTGGAAAACCTCCCTGTAGAGGTTGAGACCTACTGCCAAAAATGGGACCCTCTTACAAAGAATGAGGGGGTTGCTTGAGGAGAGGTCTTGGGAAGAGTGGCTGCAGGTTGGCAGCTTTGGCCGTGAACCCTGTGAAGCTCTGTGAGCTGCTATGTTGCTTTGAGTAGATGGTCCGGGCATGGGAGGAATGCACAAAGAACTTGGTGTCCTCCTAACCATGATTTTTCCACATAGGAAGGTCTTAATTGGGCTTGGACTGGTCCTTGCACAATCAGGATGGTTGGGGTGATGTGTCTTAGCTCTAATGCTCCTTTTTCTGTCTTCCTATAGCCATGCGGACATTCCCGAATCCTCTATCTATTACACAGGAGCCCTGTTGGAGTCTGTGGTCAAGACTGGAAAAGAGGTACAGGTGCTTCCCCAATTCCAAATTGGACTGTAGGTTTCTCAGGGAAGGGAAATATGGGAAGAGCTATAGGGAGTTATTTTTAAATTTGTGATTCTTAGTTGTCTATGCAAAGTAATCTGCAGTGAGAAAAGCTGGTAAATCCCATGATGGGGGTGTGTGCTTTTTGGGAACTTGAGAAGATAACGAAGACTCTACCAGTCCTTGAGGAACAAAGGATAAATTTGCACTTGTGGGCAGAGGTGTCTGACCACAATCCTCAAGTAGCTGTTGCTGCTGTGCAAGCAGCCCAGGGAAGCCTGCAGTGGACAAGGGAGGGGTAGGATGGAGGAGAGAAGGTGGGCTCTAGAGGTGGAAAATCTCTCGTGGATTTTTGTCACTCACAGCGCAGCCTGCAGAGGGTGCTGCTGGTCTGCTGTAAAATCCAGCCTGGTTGGATGTTTGTAGCCTGGTTCAGCTGCATCTGAGCAGTCAGTGCCTACTCTTATTCCTCATTTAGTCTTCTCTGATGTACTTCGGGGTGGGGGAGCAGCAGGACAACAGAATTTCTCCTTGTGCATCTTAAATGCCCTCTCTAGGGCTCTTGAGGTGCTCTGAATGTTTCCTATCCTTCCTTTTTTTTTTTTTTTTTACTGTGTTTCACAGCTCTGCCATGGTTAAGCTTGTAATCTGAGCAGTTTCCTGTTAACTGCTGCCTCTGGTGGTAACAGTTTGCAGAAGAGAGACAGCAGTAGAGATCTTGCTGTAGCCAATACATGGTCTCTTCTTGCCTTCCAAATCACTCTTAGCTTCTCCCTTTATTGGGCAGAGTAGTGGCCACACAATTCCTCGTGTTGTCATAGCGCATTTTACAGGATTTCATCTGTTTTGCCACCTGATAAGCAGCCACTGGCTTGCTTGTTCCTGCTGTGTAGACAGAAATACATTTGCTCCTTGCCTCCCTTTCCCTTATTTCCCCACCTTGCTGAGCGTGCTTGCAGAAAGCCACTCTCTGGGTCAGTCCTGTCTCCTTGGTGCTCAGTTGCCTCTCTAGACAGAGAAGGAGGAAAGATCAGTGCCTGTGCTTGTGTCCCCAAGGGTGGGAGATAGAAACTGAGAGGCTCTCTGGTGTCTGCAGGTTTCGGGGACCGGCGAGGAGGCCATGGTCAGCGTTGTCTGCTCGTACGATGACCTGAGCCGCAAACTCTGGAAGCTGGAAGGGCTCCCGCTGACGGTGACGGCTGTGCAGGGTGTTCACCCAGCCCTGCGGTACACGGACGTGAGTGCTCCTCTGCAGCCTGTGTGTTGCGGAGCCAGCGAGGGCTGAGGGCAGGCCCTGGCCCTGCTGAGTCTCGGGCTGCAGGGGCTTGTGGAACTGGTCTGTGTTTCTGTGGCTCCTGAGAAGCCGTGCAGTGCTGCGGTACCTCTTCCGTGTTGTCCCATCCCTGCAAAGGCTGGTCAAAGCTTGCATGTTGGGGGGCCTTGCTGTGGTGGGTGGCTAGGAGGAATGGACTGTGCTTTGCTGTGTGGGATCCACTGCTTGCTCTAAGTCCTTGCTGATGTTCTCTCCCAGGTCTTCCCTCCTGTTCCCATGAAGCCGATTTATTCCTTTCATAACAGAATCAGGAACAAGGACTTGCTGCTTCCCTCAGAGGACAGGCCCTGCCCAGCCTACATATCCCCTTTGAAAGGTAAGTGGGGAGAGATGTGGGCAGAAGATGATTCACTGGAAGCCAACAGGAGGAGGAGGAGGCAACACTAGCTCGGTTACTGCTCTGTTTGTGTGTCACAGGTGGGACCAGAGCCCTGGTTCCCCCCGCTCTTGCACTGTAACCTCTCGCTCCTGCTACGCCCTCTAACACCTTGTTTCTCCTTGGGGTTCACTGGCCTCCTTTTGTCCCTTTTGCCCTCAGTTGTGTGCCACATGGAAGGCAGTGGCCGGTGGCCACAGGACAAAGAAGCCATCAAGAGAATAAAGGCAGCTTTCCACCTCCAGCTGGCCGAGCTGCTCCAGCAGCAGCACCATTTGATCTGCAGACCTACAGTCACCCACACTGACGTGTACAAGGTAGGGGAGCGGTGGGGGCCTCCCAGAGCAATGTTTCCCTCTCACTGAAGAGGAATGCAAGGGTAGTTATGGGAGTGGTTGTTGACCATGCGGGATAAGAGCAGGGTTTGGGTGCTAAGTCTGGTAAAGAAGATGGGAATATTTGGTGTTGAGACCAGGATAGTACTGTGTCTGTGCTTGGGTCTGCATGTATTGCTGCCGAGCCTGATCTCACTTCCTGCCCCCATCTCAGGATGGCTATGTGTTCCGTCTGCAAGTGGCCTACCATCGAGAGCCTCTAATCTTGAAGGAAGTAGTCACTCCAGAAGGGATGCTGAAGTACCAGGACACTGAGGAGTCTCAGCAGCTGGAACTGGAGACCTTGCATCTGCCTTTTCTAACCAGCTCCCTGCATGGGTAGGCAGGGCAGGGTGATTTGGATCCTCGGGAATGGGACGTGTCCTGTGGCTGGGAGCTAGTATGGAGGTGCCTTTGGGTGCTGGAGGTGCTGGAGTTCACCATAGAAAGGGAAGAGGTCCCTCTGCCCTTATTAGCCTGGAAGACTTCTAAAGTACGGATGGAGGGGGACAGGTGTGAGTAAGGGAGAGAGCTGGTTGTCCCATTTGTCAGATCAGTACTCACTGGTAGGGGGAGACAACTACCAATGAGCAGCAGTTACAGGGGAGCGTTATGCTTTTGTACTCCCAAAAATGCAGCACCCACAAAGAGAGCCCTGTGCTTGTGATGTGGAATGTATGTAGAATGTATGTCCCTGGCAGACACTTGCTTTACTTCTCTGTTGAATGCCACAAGGGCAGTTTGGGTCCTAGGAGGTCTCAGAGGGACAGTCATGGTTGCTTTTCTCCCTCTTCCTCACAGGCTCCAGCAGCAGCATCCTGCTTTTGGTTGTACATGCCGAATGGCCAAGCGCTGGGTCAATGCACAGCTCCTGAGTGACCACGTCTCTGAGGAGTGCATGGACCTCCTCGTGGCGTATCTTTTCCTCCAGCCAGCCCCCTTCACTCCGCCCAGGTGAGGATGGAAAGCCCAAGTTGGTTGCATGGGGATTAACTGCCCTTTTTTCCTACTTAGCATGCAGTTAGGATGCTGCCAGGGCAGGAGGTGCTGTGAGGGCTAGTCCATCCACTGGCATGCCAAAGTGAGTGATAGGACCCTGGATTTCCAGAAAGCTGTCCAAGCTCTGCTGGACACAGCTGGTTGGAGAAGGCAGAGATTGTTGGTGCTGCTGGGCCACCTCTAGCCCCTGCCCCAAATGCTGCTGTGTGGGGCAAAGCAGCAGGCTGCCTGCTGCAGTGATGGACATGTGCTCTCCTGATGAGGATGAGAGCCAGTGTCTTCATGACCTCTGAGTACAGGCAGTGCCTTTGTGGCACTGTCACAGCACAGTGGTCTAGGATGCCTCTTTCCAGATGTGTCCGCAAGGGTCTGGTCTTCCCTCTGCCGCGGGGCAGGATCAACTGCTGGGGTCATCTTGTGCTTTCTGAAGACTAATGGGGCTCCTTGTGGGAAACAGCTAGAAGAAGGTGAGATGGGTGTATGGTGGTTAGCAGCACATTGACACTCCTGGGTTCCCTGCTAGTGATGTTATGGCACTGCTGGCTGGTGCAGCCTCCATTTATCCTGGAAAAGACTCCGAGGAAGGTCTCAGAAGGCCAGCCATTGAAAGCTGGAATGAACTCCAGGGGGCCAATTGCTGGCAGCCTCTGGCAGGTGAACTGGATGCAGCCCAAAGGGAGTAAAATGAAGTTAAAGGCTATGTTTATTCTCTGTATAGAGCCCAAAGGTTAGCCTGTCCTGCTCTTGATCCGGTTCCCTTCCCAGAAATAACAGTAGTGTAGTAACTGGCTACTGCCTGGAAAGCTCTCCTATCTCCTGGAATAATCTGCTAGCGGAAGCCCCATCTTCCCAGCTGCCTTGTTTTACACAGGGAAGCAGAGGTAAAGTGAGAGTTGGTGGTGCTGTTTGAGAGCCACACTGAGCATGGGAGCAGTTCTGTCTCTGGTTCCCCCTTGTGCTACCCCTAGACTGCGGCTGCCTCTCTGGGGGATCTGCAGAAGACAAGACTGGGGAAGAGTTTCAGTCTCTTTGAGTTGTGTGTCTTTTTTTTTTTTCCAGCTTTAACCTGAGAAGTAAGGAACAAGGGCAATGGATTTCCTAGTATACTCAGGGATGCAGAGAAAGCAAAACAGCCTGTACTCCCTCTGGTTTTCCTTCTCAACTCAGACATTTCTTCTGGGGCTGTGTGTGGCCTCGTTATTGCTACGTCATACAGAAAGCCCTGTTCTGCCATGGTGATCGGCTAGGGCAGTGAATGCCAGTGTTTAAGTTGTTTTCTCTCGCTGCAGCTCTCCCCAGGTTGGGTTTCTGCGCTTCCTCAACTTCCTGGCAACCTTTGACTGGAAAAACAGCCCTCTCATTGTCAACCTGAATGCAGGCCTCACAGGTGAGCTGCACACAGGCTCTCCCAAGTAGCTCTGGCCGCAGCTGCAGGAGAGCCATGGCATGAAGGTCTAGGGCCCTCCTGGCTCAGCGTGTGGCTCTAGCGTCTTGGATACGGTTTAATGTCAGCTTCAGCCTGGGGCAAGGAGATTTTTCACACTCTTATTCTCCTATCCTATTTAACTTGGCTTCAGGGTTTGTTTGGTTATGCTTTTATTTTGTTTTGCTTTGTTTTTTCCTCATGCCTGCCTTTGAAGAGCTGATCTTGCTG